AGAGGGAACTATCATTTTTGGAGAAATTTAAAATGTATAGTTACAGCCAATATGTATGATGTTAAACATATCCAAAAACTAGAACAGAATAAAGGTTATTAAATAGGAACCATCATGGTTTTTAAAAAATATTTAATGCCTGCACTCAGATTATATGTGCATATATAAAAAGGTGTATGATTGCCCTTAATGTTAAAAAGTTTAGTGGTTTTTAAATACAGAATGAGCCAGAATTAGACCCAATGGCAATGAGGTTTGCAGATGCTTCAGGAAGATGTTTCTAATATATACTAAATTCTTTTAAAGCATATGAAATTAATACTGATTTGAATTTCATTTGGAGAAAAATAATTATCATTGGTAATGATATTATTAGCCTCATGTTGGAAGGGATGGAGAAACATCAGCTGGTAAAACTGCATAAGAAAGAATTGAATTACCAAATTAAATAATCAATTAATTGCTCACTTTTTGTTGAGCTCCTATTCTGTGTTAATCTTTTGTTGTTATTTGCTATGGACTCAGTCCTGGATTCATACGCAGTGGGATCAGATCTATGTGATTCACAGAGTTTACATTCACTTCCAGGAGTAGATCCCTAAGCATTTATGCTAGGTTGGTAGTTTTGCTGAAACTTGTTCATCATTGTAGCAACACTCATCCATCCACTGACCTACTGACTGATGGGTATTGGTTGTACATGAAGCCCATTGACCAAAAGCTTAACCAAGTCTCTAGCACTGAATGCACTAAATCATAACTTCTTTGTGATAACCATAGTCCACGTATATAGATAAAATACTGAATATTATCTAATCTCTCAGGAAGACAAGAATTTAGGAAAGTAGTCATAAATCTAAACTAAAGTCATAACTAAAGTCACCTCATGCAAGAATCATGCACAATGAGATTAAATATAAAGATATTTTCAGAGGCTATAGTGGGTGTTTATAAATTGTAAATTGTAAATGATGAGAGCTCTGCAAATACAGGATCATAATTCTAACCAAGACCCACTTCCCCAAAAAGGGGGATATAACTGCCTTCTTTCTTCTAAAGTTTGAGTTTGGAAGAAAATAACTATACCTTATAACTCCATTCAATGTGAAGGTGTCCTATTTGATAAGAGAGATCATTTATTCCATGAAGAGAAGTTCTTATCAGCATGGGGGGCTTATGGATACCCTCCCCACCCAGAACTGCAATGGCAGTATAAAAACCCACTTCACCGGGATTGAGGCTTTTAAATGTGAACAATGTGAATATCAAACACAAGCCCTTTTACTCAATTCAGCCTGATTTTCTGCTGCTTATTGCTTACTCTATTGTTTTTTTTCTGAATTTGAGAGTGCTCATATTTAGAAATATGAAATAGAACAGTTTGTTTCAAAACACTGGAGTTATGGTGATTATGATTGTGTTTCAATCTTTCATTCTTTCAAGTTTTCATAATATTCTGTCTTCCTATCTTTATGG